TAGTTGAAAGTTTGCAGCACGCATGGAATTTTTATGCTTGTTGCTTTTTGTTCAGAAAGTTTAATTATTCAAAGGCTAAAAACAACAAAGATGCTGTCGAGAGTCACTTTTCGGAGGGAGACAGGCAGCATATAAATTTAATAAATAAACAACAATCTCCAGTCTCTCTCAACTTTTAAGTCTTCCTCTTTGGGCAAGAGACAGATAGCTACACTCAAGATGCAACCAATAGGATCTAATTGTTCAATGATCTCTCACTAGCAGATAATGAGTAAAGACCACAGGCAAGCCATTTCTGAGCGCCAGTCGAACAAACATAGAGAACATCTTTTGTCTAATAGTTGGACATAGTCTACACAGCCACTTATCGATAGGTTTTTAATCAAGTAGGCTCTTCCCCAGAAAATACAAACATTCCAAAGGAAAGGGACAGTATTATGAAAGGCACAAGATGCTTCCAAACAACTGCTTTGATTGTCCATTGCAGTATTTTTTAAATGCTACTCAAAAAAATGGAAATTGCTTGAACAAAATGCTTAGTAGTTCACATGTTCAGCCTGTATAAACTGCTGCATAATCCTTCTTTTACTGTATGTGCTCTTCTCTATTAGGATAACAGATGCCACTGTTAAATATATGTTTCAGTTAAATCCAAGTTGCTTAATGATTTTTGAGCACCTGTTATTAAACAAGCTGAGGTGAAGAAGAGAGCCATAAATAGATTGGAAGAGATTGAAGTTCTTCAAACTTCTTTTCTACTCAGAAAAGGCAGAAATGCCCAATCTGAGAATTATGGGAGTTCTAATGCACATCTGGAATTGTACAAATTTCCTGTACTGCATTGAAGGAAATGTCTTCAATTTTCTATAAACTGCAAAACAAGTAATCCAGTGCAGATGCTGTTCTGTTAAATAGCACTTAAACATTTTAAAATTATGAAGTATTTTAATTTGACTTTTGAAAGTGACTCTCGATAGCATCTTTGTTGTTTTTAGCCTTTGAATAATTAAACTTTCTGAACAAAAAGCAACAAGCATAAAAATTCCATGCGTGCTGCAAACTTTCAACTANTATATATATATATATATATATATGACTCAGCTCAGTCACAATCATAAGGGATGACAAATTCTCTAAATAAGTTGCACAGAGATTTAAATTAAATTGTTTAATAAAATTATCCCAAAACTTGGTCTATAGAAAGTTTAAATGTTCATTTGAGATTTCTATACATTTCACTGATGTATTTAATCATTTACATACATGTGTAGATTAAAAAAAACAGTGCTTTTTATTCCTGCATTAAAATGTCTCATTTTTTCAGAGCCAAGCTAGGAATGCCACAGTTTTTGAGCATAGATGCTCAGAGTTTGCTGCGAGCTCTTTTCAAGAGGAATCCATCTAACAGATTAGGTATGGGAATGTATTTATTACTGCCTAACACAGTGGCAAATTTCCCCACTTTTTTTCTCTTTAGTTAATTATCATTTAGTCTTATATACGTGATGCAGCTGAATAGTGTTTGATGGAGAGCTTCAAGGAAATTTCACTGTAATTGATGACGTATTTGGGACTGTTGGAAAAATGCTATACATGAATGGAAGCACAATGTATCATCCACTGACAGATACAGAATATCTGTCAGTACCTAATGCTAAAGGCACAGAGAAGCAGGATTGCCCAAATGAGCTAGATTTGTGTTCTCATATTTTTTTCTATTGTAGGAAAAAATGTAAAATGTATTTTTACATTTACCAGATAAGAGCTTTTAGAGACAAAGTCTGTCAGACTTATTCTAAAAGGAACTTATTTCCCAAAGCTTAATTTAAATTTGTAAATTAAAATAAAATAAATATATCCATTTAAATAAATTTGTAAATTAAAGGAAATGTTATTCCTTTAATCTTTGTGATGGTAAGAAAAACCATGCTAATTGGTCCTTTTTGTGGCCAATTTTGCTGAGGATTATGAGAATGGAGGCCAAGCAAATTTAGAAGGGTAATCTAGTTGAAAGTTTGCAGCACGCATGGAATTTTTATGCTTGTTGCTTTTTGTTCAGAAAGTTTAATTATTCAAAGGCTAAAAACAACAAAG